TACTCAAAATGGGGGTACCTTTGTATGGGCGCTACCAGTAAACGTGGACCTACCCACATAAAATTTTGCATGGACATTTTGTACTCAAAAAGAACACTCTGTGCCAAATTACAGCCAATTTGGTTATAAATGTGTTGTAATGTGTCTAATAGACAAAAACATACCTTAAATCGGGAGATATGGTTATATGGGGGCTATATCAAAACTTGGACCCAGGGACCATGGTGGATTTCTATACTTGCTTTGACATTAGAAACATGTGTGCAAAATGTTGGCCGCCTATGTCTAGTAGTTCGACAGTTAATGAGTTTATACGCAATTTTTGGGTAAAAACGTCTTTAAAGTATGGTGAAACATCGATTTGATAACAGAAACCCGCAAATAGGGTGTAAGATGTTGTATTACCGAGTCAATATAGTAAATACCCAAATAAATACCCACAAATGGGTATTTACCCAATTTACGGGTATTTACCCTTTGGGTATTTACCCACTGCCCATCTCTATGTATTCTTGGCCGCCATTCGTAAAAACTTGATGCTGACACAATAAATCGGTTATATCATCAAGATTTCTTGAGATTTTCACTTAAGGGAACCCCCCCCCCCCCATTCACGATTTTAATTTTTCAAGATTTTCAATAGGCTGGTAAATCAATACCAATGCTTGTTAAGGTTTGTAACTTTACACATATATAATTGAAGACTTAAAATAGAAAAAAAAAATAATTTACAAAAAATTTTTGTTGTTGTTTTGTTGTTGTTTTTTGTAATTAAAGAAAAGTCCTTTTTTTGATGGCGGGCATGATAACTCCTCACTGGAACATCGGAATCAAAAAATTCCAACGGTGTTAGAAAGAGTACATGTCTGGCTCTCGTATGAACTAGGATTATTGACTTCGTTCTAAAATTAACAAAATGGTGGACCTTTGAAAAAACATTTTTGGAAAATCGCCAATTTTATACCAAAACCAAAGTTAAGAAGATCTTCACCGATTGGCTTTATCCTAGTTTATGCGATAGCTATACACTCACAGAGAAACGTGTAAAAATTTGAAATAGATTGGGTTATTAGTTTTTGAGTAATCGTGCCCGCCATTCGCAAAAAAATGTTTACAGAAAAACGCGTTTAAAGTTTGAGAAGCCCTTCAGCCATCACTTGATGGTGACACAATAAATCGGCTATATCTTCAACAGTTCTTGAGATTTTCATTTGAAATTTTGTAGGGACATTCTTTAATTAGTGTAGATTCGAATTATATCAACAAAATTTTTGACCCCAAGAATGGGGGGTCCCCTTAAACCAAAAAACTTTATTAAATTTTTTGAAGCCGAAAATTGGAGGATCCCTTTAAATGAAATGATCCGAATTTATATGAAATGTATATAAATCTGAAATATATATGATATTCATAAATCTAAATCGGAATCAATTTACAGCAAATCAATTTGCTTTAGAACACTGCATTATTTTGTTTTAATCGCACACACATTGGAAGTTTGGAGCACATTTACCGAAAAATATTAATGGGAGCTATGTCTAAATCGCGTAGGGGATGATAGATACCAAGCAACGGCTCTGACATGGCGAAGCCCAGGCCATGTGCCGCGAGTTCACCCATAAGAACTATAAAAAAATGGGTTGAGGCGTCGGGTTAGTTGCTCACTCTCGGAAAACCCAACCTACTATGAAAAAGCAAAGAAAAAGAAAACCAAACCCCCCTAATGTTGACGACCCCCGCATAAAGGACCACGATCTGCGAATCTGCACTTGGAATGTGCGCACGTTGTACAGAACAGGGGCAGTGTTCGCTTTGGCGGATATACTCAAGAAGTACAGGAAATGCGATGGAAAGGGACAGGCGTAAGTAAATCAGACGATTACGCCCAGTATTATAGCTGCCTGCGGATTTATGGTTACAGGAGAATAAAAGACCTTGTCTCCAGATTCACTCCAGTAGATGAGCGAATTGCTATAATCCGTATAAAAGCGAAGTTCTTTTACATCAGTCTAATTTGCGCCCATGCTCCGACCGAAGATAAAGATGAACAGACCAAAGACATATTTTACGAGCGCCTAGAAACAGCATATGACCGTTGCCCTGGCCATGATGCTAAAGGAGATTTTAATGCAAAAATCACCAAATTTGGTGGGAAAATACAGTTGGCCCCACCGTCGGAAAATTTAAGCCTTCATGAAGAAACACCCGACAACGGCATGAGGTTATTAACTTCGCGGCAGCAAAAAACATTATAATCATTTAGTTAGCAGCACCAGATTCAAGCATCTCGATATACACAAGGCCACCTGGATCCATCCTGATCAAGTAACGAGAAATCAAATTGATCATGTTGTGATAGACGGAAGGCATTCATCCAGTGTTTTAGACGTCCGATCGATCCGAGGAGCGAATATCGATTCGGACCATTACCTTGTGGCAGCCAAGGTACGCACCCGTCTTAATGTTGCAGCAAAGGTGCGATCTAATACAACAGGAAACTCGACGTCGAAAAGCTGCAAACACAACAGGTAGCCGAAGACTTTGGTGCGGGCACAGCAAAAACAACAATTGGGTACCAAAAACCACCACCAAGAAACCCATGATACGATGAAGAGTGTCGTAATGCTACTGATGTGAAAAACGAAGCGTATAGGGCAACCCTGCAGACAGTAGCAACACGTAACGTGCTGGAGAATTACCGAGAGAAAAGGAGAGAGGAGAAACGTGTTTTGAGATGTACAGGAGTAAGAATTAAGTCAGGAAAACACCAATCCGAAGGCTTTGGTGCGGGCACATCCTCCTGTAGAGATGAAGAAGGAAACCTGGTGACAGATACAAACAGCGTGTTGAGGATCTGGAAGGAGCATTTCGAAAAGCTACTAGTATCAAATAGTGGCGATGAAGAAGATATCCCAGAACCAATAAGAGATGATGGTATAGAGTGTATATCACCTAGCCAAGATGAGGTCATAAAAGCAATTAATCGGCTCAAGAACAACAAAGCAGCAGGAGCCGATGGGTTACCAGCCGAACTATTCCAGACTGGTGGCCAGATGTTGGTCAGGAGCATGCACCAGCTGATTAACACAATTTGGCTAGATGAATGCATGCCCAATGATTGGAACCTCAGCATCCTGTGTCCCGTGCACAAAAAAGGAGACAAAACGATATGTGCCAACTATAGAGTAATAAGTCTCCTTCCCATAGCATATAAAGTGCTATCCAGTGTGCTGTGTGAACGATTGAAGCCAATGGTCAATGACATCATTGGATCATACCATTGCGGCTTCAGATCTGGCAAATCCATAATTGACCAGATTTTCACTCTGCGCCAAATCCTAGAAAAGACCTACGAAAAACACATCGACACATACCACCTATTTGTCGACTATAAAGCCGCATTCGACAGCCCTATCCGTTCAGAGGTGTTTAAAGCCATGTCTGCGTTCGGCATTCCTGCAAAATTAATACGGCTATGCAGGATAACTTTAAGTGGCACAAGGTCAGCCGTTAAGGTAGGAAAGGACCTATCGGAGCCCTTCAATACCGAACGAGGATTTAGACAAGGTGACAGTTTGTCGTGTGATCTTTTTAACATCCTACTGGAAAAGGTCATACGAGACGCAAAGGTGAACAGAAATGACACTCTGTACACCAAACAACACCAGTTACTCGCCTACGCCGATGACATCGATATAATGGGTCGAACATTGCGAGCGGTAACAGCCACCTTTGAACAAATTGAAAAGGAGTCTGCCAAAGTGGGTCTGGCAGTAAACGGCGAGAAGACCAAGCTGATGGTATCAACGCGCAAGACGTCCAGTAGACTCGGACCAACTGTGGAACTTGAGAACTACAGCTTCGAGGTAGTTAAAGACTTTATATACCTTTGTACCGCCATAAATAAAACGAATAATATCAGTTTTGAAATTCGGAGAAGGATTGTGATGGCCAACAGATGCTACTATGGTCTAAGTAAGCAGTATAAAAATGAGCCTACTGATGGTTCCCGTAGAAGGGGAAGACCACGAATTAGAAGGAAAGACCAAGTAGAAAACAACATCTTGGAACGTGGTCTTCCAAATTGGTGGACTTGCGCACAAGACCGACGCGCTTGGAAATCTTTTTTAAGCTCGGCTTATGGAACAACCTTTCTGTAACAAGTTAGCTAAGTAAAGTAAGTAAGTATCCAAATCGCAAGCGATTTTTACAATAGATAACACTTCATTCTAGAATCAATGCGACACGCTAGCTAAATTTATTCTAACACGTTTAATAAGTTATTAAATAATAAATAAGAGAAGAAAGAGATAATGTAACCATGTACCAGTAGGTCATCTGTGGTATATAACATCAAGTAACTAAAAATCCTATAACCCACAATGAAAAAACCTTCAATTATTAAGTTAATTTATTCAGCAAAAATTCACCATTTTGTCAATGAGTTTTTTCAACACTACAACGTTACTTAAAATCCGACGGGGCGTACAAAAATATTCAACTTCCCCACTATGACAAAATGTTGTGCACGCCCGTATTACTCAAATACGTCGAATCCATATCTTCAAGCAAACAATGCAACCGCAAAACAAAACTGCAAATTTATTAAATTAATCCACATATTTTTAGTTTCCACTCGAAATTTCAAATTTCCAGAATGTTTTGTTTTTATTTTCAAAAAAGAAAAAAATGAAAAATACGTTCTGTCAAAGTTGAACATTTTCAACTTGAAATTTTGTACGTTCGACGTATTTCGGTAACATTCATATAAATACATGTGTTCTACTTTTGTGGTGAAATACGTCGAACGAGCTAGTTGAATTTTTGGTAAGGCTGCTATAAATAAGTAGCAAATTTCTCAAATTTTCTTAACAGATGGACTTTATTATTGTCTTAAATAGGGAAAATATTCGGAATGCCGTCAACTTTATACTATGTATATCCCTAAAGCTCCGGCAACTGGTACACTTAAACTATACTTAAACATTAAATTTACATACCTTTGACCTGTTTCAAAATTGGCTTTGCAAGATCCAACCATTGCTAGAACGACAAAAAAATATGAATATAAATATATAATAGAATTGCTTGCATATATGTAAATATACATTTACATATAAATTTAAATAGCCCAATTTTTTGTGGCTATTCACAATCATACAAATGAATTATGTGTGATGGGATATGTTTGTGGACATATTCAGATATTATTGTCATTGTCTTTTTATAGTTACCATTGCGAGTAACCACATACTAAAAGCGATTTGGCGACGATTCCAATAAACCACGGCATTTTTTCGGGAATATTTTCTTAATATTCTTAAATAATAAGATGAATATGTCAACAAACATATCCCATCATACATAATTCATTTTACATCTTTAGTATGCTGGCTTTAGGCGTATATATTACAATTTTGTCAAATTTGTATTGAGGTAAAATACTTATTACACTCACTGTACATATTTAAGGAAATATAAAATATATATTATAAATTCTTTTTTTTTTTTTTTTGTTTTTACAAAATAGTCAGGCTGAATCCCAGTTTGTTGTTTTTATAAAAAACAACTATTTATTAGTGGGGAATGTATGGCATTGTTTGCCGAGGGGTAAGGCAGGGAAGACTATAGTTTCGGATCACGCCACTGATCCTCATCAGTTCCCTTAGTTTTTTGTTGGGATATTCTCCACAGAAGCTATTGCTTCTATACAAAAAACCTTTCATACCCAAATGTCTCTTGTAACAAAGCGAAGTACTTAGCTGACCAACGACATAAACTGCATGAGAATTTCGCTGGAGCCTCACTTCGAGGTTAACAAGGCATTTACAAACAATACCACACCTTTCCCACTGCCTTACTCCTCGGCAAACAATGCCATACATTCCCCACTAATAAATAGTTTTTTTTTATAAAAACAACAAACTGGGATTCAGCCTGACTATTTTGGCAAAACAAAATAAAAATGGTATCCCAAATAAACCGCCAACACTACTGGAATTATAAATTCCAATAAAAATTTTAACTCAAATAATTTTTTGGTAACAATTTTTCTTTTGGCAAACAAGTGTGAGTGTGTTTGTAAATATGAAAACAAATGGCAGTTGACAATCATTTGAAATGATCTCAAAGTCAATGTTAACCGGGTTAACCTACTTTTTGAGGATTTATTTGACACATATACAATGGAATTGACAATTAAAACCCACTAGATTATCGAAATCCGGTACAATGTAAACGTACTATAAATAACCTTAATTTTTTCCGGTTTTCGTAAATCCACTTCATATAAGGTGTGTATGTAAATGCACTAGGATTTATTTGACACATATACAATGGAATTGACAATTAAAACCCACTAGATTATCGAAATCCGGTACAATGTAAACGTACTATAAATAACCTTAATTTTTCGTAAATCCACTTCATATAAAGTGTGTATGTAAATGCACTATAAATATCATAATGGAAAATTCTTAATCTATTCTTCCGAAGTGTTACTTATAACAAATCCCACTTAAAAATTCACACATTATTACACTTACTGATTAATTGGCACTGTCCAACAGTTCTAAATATATATAGTTCTTATTTATGTAATTTGGGTTAATCTGACACATCCAGTGACAAATTGGCTATAGAATCCCAGGATGTTTGGTATTAAAATCGGATATAACTGTACACGTTTTGGTATAGGCCCATTATCAGTAGTTATAAGGGTTATCTACATTTTCTACAGTCTCTGATCTGTTATTCCGGTTTCCAGAATTGTGAACACCTTTGCAGAATACATGGAGTACTTGTCTATATTTTGATATAGTCTTATATAAAGGTTTCGCCCATTTTGGAAATATAGGATCATCAACATTTCTAAAATGCGCGGAACCGGAACATTTCGGAGTGGGCGGTATTTCTTATAGTTTTTGGATCAAAACTTCTTTGCAAACAATATAGATAATTTTTAGTGTGGACATTTTCTACCCAGTGAGAACCAAAGTACCAAACCATAGCTAATTTAGTTCACCGTGTGTTGTGTTGTTATGTTCGGCTTATAATTGTGGCCTATAGATTGACTCGAAATAAAAACACAAAAAATTAAGTTTTCGGTCCACTTCATCACAAAATTATTATCTGATTATCACCGAAAATTAATGGCGTTGTCTTTGACCATAACTGGAATCTCATAGAACATTTCAAAGCGATCAGCGCTATATTTCCGCCCTCCAGGGTTACTAAATAATATCTGAATTCGTAAGCATCTGTAAATATTTAAGTGTGACTCCCACATCCGAGTACATACTACAATATAATTGGTATTAATTTAAAGGCCAACCACTTCTATTGGATATACTATCAACTTCTCGGGTCTATGTCCTTCAAGAGTAAATATATACGCCGTAGAATACAAATATTGTCATTTTTCATACAAAAGTCAGGGTTCATTTGGCCCGCTAAATATTGACCAATCTTTATCAAAGCATGCATGCTTATTCTTTGCCCCCGATCCACTTCTCAATGTAAAAATTCGATGTTTGGGACATAATTGCGGCCTCTGGAGCGACCAGAAAAACCGACAAAAATTAAGCATTTTGTCCATTTCATCCTCTAAATATTAACCGATCTTTACCCAAAACAATAGGAGTCTTCATTGGGCGAACCCATCCTACATGCAAAATTTCGTGAAGATTGGTACAGTATTGATCTGTATCGTGTTTACAAATTTTAATCGACAGACGGACGGACACCCATGTCTATATCGACTCAGCTAGTCGTGATGTGATCGGTATACTTAAAGGTGGGTCTAGGACCAATATTACGCGGCGTTACAAACCCCAGACAACATAGTTGCGTATGGTATAAATATGAACAAATTATTGGCAGGTACAAAGGTTTGCGTCGGGAATTCCCGCCCCGGATATTCCCGTGATTTCCCAATATTATTTCTGGTGAAATCGGGATATAGTATTTCCAAATATATATGTATACACTTATTACCAAAATTATGTGTCGCAATTTTATGCTAAATAATTGTAAATAAAGTATTAAAAATTTCTACACTAATAGCGCATTTACATACGTACTTTATATTTATGAGAATGTATGATATCCTGAAAATAAATTAGGGTTAGTTACCTAGGATTAAAAAAAATAAAATTTTAACTCAGATATTTATATTTTCAGCCCCTTAGTGCATATAACTCCATAAAATGGAAAGTTGAGAAATCCGATGGTAAATGATGTTTTTGAAATGCCTTTAACAATATGAATTAAACTATATAATGTAGAATATATAATGGCGATAATCTTCGATCTATTATTCAGAAAATTTATTATAAGTATAAAATATTAACAAATGAAAAAGCGTTAAGTTCGACCAGGCCGAACTTTGGATACCCTCCACCATAGATATACTGACAGGTACTTGAAATAAAAATATAGGGAACATACCAAAGAGTGTACCTATACCGACATTGCTACAAACCGATTATGGTTCTAACTATTGGTCCTAGACCCCATGTTTCTTTGTTTCAAAAAATTTTGACTTCATCCTACAGTACATATATATGAATGTATATATATATATATATATATTATATATAAGGTTAATTATCGAACTTTATGTTCTAGTTTTTTTTTCGTATCTCAAGCAGATTAAATGATTACAACAGAATCTTAGAACCAAACCCAAACACGGAACAAATCAAATCAAACAAAAAGGGGGTTATATGGGGACAACCCCATGAAGGGTGCGAATATTAATCATTTTTGGTAGGGAGATTTGTTACCATATACGACTACCAAATACCAAATTGCAGCAAATTCGGTTAACAACGCGCTCAAGACCCTCAAAATACCGAAAATTGGGGGTACACCTATATGGAAGCTATTCGGAAAAAATACGAAGTACGGTTATATCGGGAATACCAGAAAAAGTGGACCTATATTAATATTTTTTGTGAAGACAAGGTGGAGGGCAAAAAAAAGAGGGGCTAATCTATGTGTACCGAGCGACTCATTTAATGAGAACAGTTGCAATTTTTAGTGTTTATGTTTTTTTTTTTTATTTATAACGTTTAATTCGTTATTTATATTGTATGGTAAATGTTTCCAGTTTTATGAAATAACTGACGCAAAAGCCCTAAATCCTGATTTTCTATTCTATGTAACTATTCTATTATACTTTTATTGTTTCAATATATCTGAAGTTTGTTTGTCCATAACACGTTCTATACGTTTCGAAACATCTCTCATTCTCGCGATGATGAGTCCTGAGTCCTAATCATCGCGTCTTTGTGATATTCCTTTTTTGTGGTCGGTGAAACATTCAAGCGCATCTTTCCAATTTGTAAGAGGGTGTGACAGAGGTAATTTTGGGACTTGGTGGTCGCCTCTTCCGCACCCTCCTTTATTTAAAAATGAGAAGCCGACTTTACAAAAATCACGTTGTGCTAAATCTGAATATGCGATACAAGAAACCCTGGACCGGGCCGGGTATAATTATAAGTTTACAAAAATCACCTTTTGCTAAATCTGAATATGCGATACAAGAAACCCTGGGCCGGGCCGGGTATAAATTAAAGTTTACAAAAATCACCTTTTGCTAAATCTGAATATGCGATACAAGAAACCCTGGGCCGGGCCGGATATAATGAAAAGTTTACGAAAAGTTCCTTTTGCTAAATCTGAATATGCGATACTAGAAAGCCGTGGCGGGTATAATTAAAATGAAAAACCAGTAAGGAAAGAAGTAAAGTCGGACGGGGCCGACTATATGATACCCTTCACCACTATGGGTATATTAAACAGGACTATTAACATGAAATTTGATGAAATAAAATATGTGATATTTATCTAAATGTGAATCTATCTAGATCTATTCATAAAGTATGTAAATCGACTTCAAACAAATATAAATTGGTCATCCGTTGGGCTATGTCTGTACTTCTAGAAAACGCAACTACGTAATTCTATGCTCAATTTTGTAAATTGTGCAAAATTTGATGTCAATCTGACTACATGAGGAGTTTGATGCCCAATTTACTTGAAATCGGGCGAAAATATATATGGAAGCTCTATCCAAATATTAAGCGATTTCAAACCAACTTGTCACAGGTTAGGTAATAGTAATTTCAGAACGTTTTGTTCATATCAGTCTATTGGTTCCTTGGTGCGTCAATTACTTAAAATCAATCTATAATAAAAGGGAGCTATATCTATATCTGGACCGATTTTCACGAAACAAGGCAGACATCACTCTAGGCTCAATTCAGTACGTTATGCCAAATTTCGCGCAAATCGAAAGATATATAGCGACTTTGGTGCACCATTTACATGAAATTGGGAGCTATTTACTATATATCGGAGCTATATCTAAATCTGGACCGATTTTCTCGAAACTTGGCAGACATCACTCTAGGCTTAATTCAGTACGTTATGCCACATTTCGTGCAAATCGAAAGATATATTGGGACTTTGGGGCACCATTTACATGAAATCGGACGAAACTATATATGGCTTAATTCACTCTAGGCTTAATTCAGTACGTTATGCCAAATTTCGTGCAAATCGAAAGATATATTGGCACTTTGGGGCACCATTTACATGAAATCGGACGAAACTATATATGGGAGCTATATAGAAATCTGGACCGATTTTCTCGAAACTTGGCAGACATCTCTCTAGGCTCATTTCAGTACGTTATGCCAAATTTCGTGCAAATCGAAGGATATATAGGGACTTTGGTGCACCATTTACATGAAATCGGACGAAACTATATATGGGAGTTATATCTAAATCTGGACCGATTTTCACGAAACTTGGCAGACATAATTCTAGACCTAAATGATTAGGCTGTACCAAATTTCGTGCAAATCGAAAGATATATAGGGACCATTTACATTAAATCGGTTAAATATATATATGGGAGCTATATCTAAATCTGAACCGATTTTTCCCAATTTCAATAGGGTTCGTCCTTTGGCCGAATAAGTGAACTATGCCAAATTTCATCCAATTCGGATCATAAATGCGACCTGTAATTTGTTTACAATTTAACATGCACAGACAGACAGACGGACGGACGGACATGCATAAATCGACTTAAAAAGTGATTCTATGCATATTCTCAAAAGGAACCATGTGTCTATCTCGTTTCCTTTTGCCTGTTACAAATATATGCACAAAGACATAATACCCTGTACCACAGTGTGGTGAAGGGTATAACAACTCAATTTGAACACAAAGTTTTAAAGAAACCCAGATAGTTTGAGGAATACGAACATGCTATAAAAAGTCGTTAAGTTCTACTTTTTAATGAATCTGAATCTGGTGTGTCATCTAATAGTGCTGAAGATATACCAAAGGTAGAACATGTTGATTGTTTTGAAATTAAATTAAAAGAGGCAATTACTGCTGCAAAGTCAACCCCTATAAAATCATAATATTTTTTAGAAAGGAATTAGCTTTATAAAGTAGAACTAAAAAATTGATTACTAATCTGTTGAATGGCATTGGTAGATTTTAAATCAAAAATTATTGTATACAACCTGTTTTTAATACAATGCGTTGCAAAGCACATGCGAAACTAATCTTATTTAAAAATAAAATTGACGTAAATTTTTTTATAATTCTAATTATTTAATTAATAAATATACATAATCTATCATCTCGCATTTTATTTTTAAACGTTGTAAAAAGTTCCGTGATTTCCCGAGAACCCGAATTTTCGGTATCCCGTTAATGGAAAAAAGTCGGGAACTCTTAAACCCTATCAGGCACCCAGCATTGATGTCAGTCAATTTATTGTTGAATTTGTCTACTCTGTTTTTGTCTTCAACATCCTACTACATTTTGGTGATCCAAATGTTGATACGATAATGGCAAAATAAATAGATACTCAATTTAGCGCAGCTGATGGATTTAAATTGTCAATTCCTTTCCATTTGTCAAATAAATCCTCATACCCCTTTCATAACATACCCAAACCCATATTCTAACACATTATACATTTACATACATATTTCAAATGTAGTCTTACCCTTTGTTTCGAATAATCCACATATCGTATTCCAAAGTAGTCCTTTTCTTTTATTTTCAATTGATCACATATATATTCAACTAAGTAGCTGCCTCTATGATGTGCCTGGAATAAAAATAATCACATTTAAATTACACTGTGCTACAAAATAACAAAAAAAAAAAAAAAAAAAAAATCAGGGGTTCTAATGTACCAATTATGTTTAGTTGGAGTCCCTGGACCACGAAAATACCTTTGGTTTTTCTGGGTCACTTCGAAAATTAATTTTATAACGGTAAATATAGAGAGAAAAGTGGTTTCATGGATTTTCAATTTGAAACTCGAATAAAATTTATTTTTCTTCGGACTGTACGATGAAATTATGATATCAAGCCGTATAAGTTTCATTATATATCGGGGTAGAAAATTAAATAAGCTTTCGAAAATGAGAAAATATGTATAGAATCAATACAAAAATGTGTATAAGTCATCCATTTTTTAACCGATTTTCCTCATTTTTGAAAGTTTATTTAATTTTCTTCCCCGTAATATAATAAAACTTATACGGCTTGATATCATAAATTCAACGTACAGTCCGAAGAAAAATAAATTTTGTCATTTTATGTGTATTTTTTCATATTTCAACCGCTGTAACTCAGCCAATCATCAACCGATTTTCCAAATATATATCTTGTTTGAAAGGAAAAATTCTACGAAAGAAAAAAAAAAATAACGAAAGAAAAAAAATTATAAAAATCCGTTAGAAATAAAAGCAGTTGTTCGAGTTTCAAATTTAAAATTCATGAAACCACGTTTTTCTCTATATATCCGTTATAAAATTAATTTTCGAAGTGACCCAAAAAAACCAAAGCCATTTTCGTGGTCCAGGGACTCCTACTAAACAGAATTGGTACATTAGAACCCCTGAAAAATTTTAGTGTCGCACAGTGTTATTTTCCTTTATTTAGAAAAAAAAAAAATCATTAAGTTTTAGCATTTTATATCAAATATACATAGACATACTTCGTATACAACGGAACAGTGAAAGAATGTTTTGTTCTGATGTGCCCGAAATAAAACAATGTTAAGTTCGACCCGGCCGAACATTTTATACCAGCCACTATGAGGATGATATTCAAAATATGTAAAGTTACTGGGGCTCCTAGGAGAAAACTTATGTTATGATAGGACCTTGAATATGCCGTTCAATATCAATATTGATTATTTTGAGTAGTGAAACCATTTTTATACTGAGATTTGGGGTTATCGTTATATGAGGGCTACACCAAAAAAATGGAACGATATATCCGTTTTGCAATACCAAATATCCTAGGAGTACTAGCAATGTCTGTGCAAATGTCTGGGGGTAGCGTTATATGGGGGCTACTCTGAAACTTGAGTCAATATTAATAATTTTTTATACGTGCATGTGCTATACAACGAAAACCAAAATTCTAAATTACGGCCAATTCGGTTGAAAACGTGTCCCAAATGATTAAAATACCGAATATTGTGGGATACCCTGGGTCAATATTAATAATGTTTATGTGCTATACAATAAGAACCCCAAATTCAAAATTATACAATTCGGTTGAAACACGTGTCGAAAATCGTCTAAATACTAAATATTGGGGGTATCGTTATAAGTGTGCTACCCTGAAATTTGGGTCAGTATTAATAATTTTTGAAAAACGTGAATAAAATCGACAAAATAACAAATATTGGGGGGGTACCGTTTTATGGGGGCTACACCAAAACGTTGACCGATATATCCCATTTGCAATACCAAACATCCTAGAAGCACTAGGAATTTCAGAGCGCTATCTTAAATATTGCGATCTCTATCGTGATTTCAACAGACGAACGGGCAGACAGATGGACAAGCATAAATCGGCATAGAGTTTTATTCTGAATAAGAATATATATATATATATACTGCACTCCACCTTTTGTTAAGGGTATAAAAAGTTTTCCAGTCAAAATCTATATAATACCGACAAAAATGTAATAGTTGTTTTGCGGGTAATGCAAAAAGTGGGTGAAATTGTGTTGAGTCGGGAGGCGCAACCGGGTAATGCTCTAATCTTATTATTATAATCTAATCTTATTATAGTATTATAGAACTCGATTGATGTTGCTGCATTTAGTGTATTCCGCATGAATGTGCTCACCCTTTAGCTTTAAACTTACGTGACGTTGAACACCGCATGATTTTAGTTTTTTTACGTGCCGAATCTAATGATGTTCACTTTGAAAGATTATGGTGGCACATCCACCATTCAAATGGAATCATTTTAAATAAAATTGATACTTAAAAAATCTTCGCAATATAACGAATGTTTCGCTAAAACGAAGGGGCCTGATAATATATCGTTCATATGAAATATAAAATAAAAATCGTTTTATTTTTATTATAATTATCTGACCTAAAAAGCCCAACAAAAAACATAAAAATTTAATATATCATTCATTTGGCTAAAAATGTGTTACTATTATGTTTTTAATTTTCAGTATCGTTAAGTACAATTTTCTGGTGCGCGAACGATTGTAGCGAACGGACAAAAGGGTCAAATTACTGTTACCCTAAGGAAATTTAAACAACGCAATTTTTATTTATTTATTTTTTTTTTTTTTAATGAAATACAATTTTTTGCAATATTTCTCACAGTTTAATGACAGATACACCAAAAATTTGTAATTTGTGTATTTCAAACAAATACAATCACAAAAATGTATGTATTAGTGTGGACAGCCCTGCTTTAAGGGGACCTCACATTCTCAGATTAAAAAAAAAATAATTTTGTATTTTGATTTAATTCGAATCTACACTAATTCAAGAATGTCCGTATGAAATTTCAAGTGAAAATCTCAACAACTTTTGAAGATATAGCCGATCTAGCTAGCATCAAGTGACGGCAAGAGGGCTTCTCAAACTTTAAATTGATTTACATAAATTTGTGCCATTGTACGCAAACGACTCTAAATCTGTCCGGTTGAAATGAAACTTAGCATAGGTTGCAGAAAGGCATTTATATGGATTGATGTTATTCGGTTCACTTATAGATAAAAATCACATAAGTATGTTCGTTAAATTTTATGCCAATGTACCTTCTAAAAGGCGATGTCTGTTAGGATACATATGTACCGGACCGACTTTACTACTTTCGTTACTGATTTTTAAATTTTGGAATACATATGGTTGTGGTGTTCTATTTTTAAACTATCAAAATCATATGTTTTTATATTTAATATGTATGTTATTGCAAAAATATATTACATATATTGTAAAAGTTAAAATTTTCACTAAGGGTCGTACCTAAATTCATGCGTATGCGTACGAATTTATTCACTTCAAAGTTAAATATATGTATTTCAATGAATATTTTCCAAATACGCATCTATATATATATATATATATAAAATAGAAAAAAAATTGTTTGTTTGTATGTTACCGTTATGTTACTGTATATGGTAGGTGTGAATACACATTATTCATAAAAATATGAACGAGATAAGATCGGTGGAAATGCACTTTCCGTTTCACATAAATAATATACATGTAGGAAATAAAAAATGTTTTGTTTCTAGATTCAAAAACCGTTGAACAGATTTTACTGAGATTTTTACCGCACATCAGTCATCCGAGCAAAATAATATAGGGTATATTAAATTCCAAAATTTCGCGTGGGTGTGGAGTTATCGCATCGAAAGTAATTATACATCTGAACTAATGTTCATTTTCTAAGTTTATATCTTAAGAAGGGTTACAGATTCCCACTTCAAAATGTGTCACTATAAAAATTGGCGTGGTACAATAGGGAAAATGTACTCCTCACTGCATTTAATTAATCTAAATGTAGAAAATGGAAACTCTTTTGGTTGTTGACACAAAAACCGCTAAATAGATTTTACTGAAATTTTCGCAGTAAGTCATGTCAACCCATGTAAGTAAGATAAGCAAGATAAACTTCGAAAATTCCGCGATGACGAGGAATTATAGCATCAACAGTAATCATACCTCTGAACTAATATTCATTTTCTATGCATATATTAGAATATCTTAAATAAATCGTCTTTTACAAATTTGTATGATACACAGATAATTACATACTAATCTTAAGTGAGCAGGAAATAACAAAATTGGTCCAAATCGATAATGTTCGACTCATCATTTTTGGTCCTTTTGTCAATAATGATAAAAACCACCAGTTCAGTAATTCCACTAACGTCTGCTGTTTTCATCTCTCCATTATCTACATATTGCAATAAAATTGTGTAAAATGAACAATTTTTGACATTCTAATTTTTACATTTTGTCAATTTGTGAAAAAAATTAAATTTTGGATTTTTTAATTTTAAAATTCAACCTCCATTGAAGAAAAGATTATGAATTCTATATTGGAGATATCCAAAAGAGAAATGCTGATTGTGGAATAAAAGTTATAAAAGTCCGAAATCTGTGGTAGCTTATCATTATAGCTGATATATTTCGTGTATGTATATAGGAAATCACTAACTCAAATGCCACAAATCCTATCTTCGGACTTGATCCTGGTTTCTTAAGAATAACAATACTATATCTAGGTTCGCCAAAAATATTATGATGTGATAATAAATTATTGTGAATTTTTCTTGGCAATGAAACACAACTCAAACTTAAAAAGGATCATACGTCAGGTATCTAAGCGATATTAATCGGAGTGAGAAAGAGATCATATCATGGGGAAATAGTTGAGAATACAGACATAAAAAATTGCTGTAATGTTAATGAAGGATTGTAGTGGTCTTGGAACGATTAATGAAAAACATGTAAATATTGGAGAAAATATATTTTTGTATGGTACTATTACAACTGATTAGAAAAGTCAGACTAAATTTGTTTTTAATATTACCACCGTATTTCAAAGATTATTTAAAAATGTTTTTGTAATCTATTGAATAGAATCAAATATACTAATACATAGAAATTACGAAATTATTACTGATATTACACTACGAAATACCTACAAATAGTTTTCGACGTTAACTATCCAATGTTAATAAATTTAGTATGGGCAGCGAAGCGCCACGGTTTCAGCTAGTTGCGTATAAAAATATAAAGTTGAAAATTTTCAACATTGACAATGCATATTTTGGATTTTTTGTTTTTTTTTTTTTTTGAAAATAGAATTTCAGTTATTGAAAATTTTGTGTTTGTATAAAAGCAACCATTTTTCGATCAATTAAAGATTTTTTTCATCCATTTTCGCCGTTTTCAATTGGCACAGATGCAAATAAAGTCCTTGCGTATTTGGGTAATACGGACGTCTAACAAACCCTACAAAGGTGAGTATTTTGTACGGAAACGCAATAAATTAGGTACGACCCTAAAATAGGTAATATTTTGTGTGATTAATGTTTAAATTTCTTTAGGGTAACATTCTGTATTAAATCCAAATATGCTTGTTAATGACATATTTTTCAAGATTAAGATAGATTTGCCTTGGTTTCGTCTATCGCCATAGTATTGGTCACATATTTCGACTTGTTCCGAACTAATTTTTTGCCAAATAATATTCTGATTTTTTCGAATGAGAATAGTTCCGTTTCAGAAACAAAAAGAATCTACTAATTTTTACTCGAAACCCGTTTCTGAACCCACAAAACTGGTAAAACATTGAATCAAATTGAAGAGAACACAAAACAGTATTACGTTCTCTTTATGAACTTTTTACTCGAAAAATTTGTCCGAGTAAAAATGGTAAACAGGAATGCAAACTTCTAATTGGTTTGTTATGTTGATTTTGAAGTATTGCCATCTGAGGGCGATTTTGAAATGTTTCCCTTTTACTAGCTTTACTATTTAAAAATTATTGGAACATACCAAATATTGAAAATATTTTTAATTTTCAAATGTTTCTCTTTTTATAACTGTGTATGTGAGAAATTTGACACACCCCGACATCCCATGGAAACTATATATATATATAAGCATGAAACCAAATAAATATGTTTATTGATTTTATTCACTAGGGTACTATAATATTCATAAACACATTCCCATACAATTTGTTCACAACATACAAATACACTATATATTTACTATATTGTCTTATTATTATTCTCTCAACAAAATACCTGAAATTCGCATTCCAGTAACTCGGAGTCATCCAACAACCTCACTGTACACGTATAAGAAACGTTATTTTCATTCTTGCTTCTAAACATACTAATTAGCTTTTACACAAATATGCAAATAAGATATTCTCTAAAAATAATCGAAATATACTTATATGCGTTTAGTTCAACCACAGAAAATAGGCCGGTAATGTTTACAAAACTGCCCTAGTTTGTGTTGCCACATATTGACAAAGAATTTTACTTAAGGGTTGTTGCCTAAGCATTGCGTATGCGCAAGATTTTTTCACCCCTGTGTTAAGTACAGTAAAATCTTGCTAGTCCGGACAATTGATTGCACACCCCAATCCGGATTACCAATTTTTCACATATCGAGGTTTTTAAATTGGTTTACATTTTTATTAATTTAGTGATCAAATAAATGACTTCTGTACTGGAAACATTCACAGCTCATAAGCATATTCATAATTCTAACTCATAAAAAATAATGTATCTTCACAATCAGTATTTTAGAGTCAAATAGTCAAATGTTGATGTTTTTTTCATAAAAACCGTTATGTATGAAAAATTACATGCAATAATTTTCTATTTTCACACTAAATCTCTTCAGTGCAGTTTATGTAGGGGTTTATAAAAAATACTAATTTATATATTTACATATACAGTGAGCTATGCAGAAGATCGATTTTGTGACGGTTGTGCTAATATTTGGCCCTAGAATGTAAATTCCGTAGCAAACCGAAGATTTCCTTGCCTCTTTCTCGCTCTGTGACTTCTTTGCCCTTCATTCATAATATGCTACAACATGTGATATGTTTTCTTCTTTCCATCTTTTTCTCAATACAAATTTGGGAAAAGTGAGAACGTATTACATTGGGAATCATCACATTATATAATGTAACCGTAACAATCGAGAAAAGAATATAATTGGACAAAAAGTTAAATTATTAAAGACATTCTAGATACATTATATAGTATATCCCAAAGGTAGCAAGAGGGTAATTTCAATTGACAAAAAATACATACTAATTACCTACTCATTTCCCAAAGGATACGACAAGGTAATGAAATATTTAATTTTTTCTTATTTTTATTATAGTAAATGGCATTTAGGTACGTTTAGATTTACGAAATCCACTCGATCTCAAATGTCAATTCCATTGTCAAATATAATCCACTGAATTTTTTGAACAGGATTAACGTGACGTATACGCAATGGAATTGACATTTGAGATCGAGTGGATTTAGAGTACTAGCCTGGTAGAAGATGCATTATATCATGGTACAATTATACAAGATAGGGTAGCTTTTGTCAGAAAGAAGAAAATACACCACTATCTTATGGGCAATAATGTCTGAATAAATGAAAACAAATTCAACAAAGTCGAAAATACATATAGTGAAATTATTGATTCTTTACATAACTGCAATAAAACTGGATACCCTATTTTGGCAGCATTCCCACAAATTATGATTCCGATCTTCAAAAAGTGTAAGTAATGAAATCATAAAAAAATATTCTTATTTCAATATTTTTATTATTGCATTTCAGAAAGCAATTCGATGCCTCCGAACCATAGTATGCTAAGCATGTTTTAAAGTTCTTTACGTTTTTAGATTCTACTGTCCTTAATTTAAATTCTCGTAATTTTTGGTACTAATCGGCCAATCCAAACCAAAGCAAAAATTTACATAGCATGGGACTTAAGATTTAAGAAACTTCCCTACCATAATGTGGTAAGTACACTTAGCATATTTCGGTTTTTAACTTTTAGTATTATTTCGGATGCTAAGTGGACTTAAGGTAAGGCCACACTACGCAAATATTTGACGAAAAGTGTCAAATATTTCTTTACCATAATCCATGGTATAATAATAGAAGGTAACAGCAAGTGTTGTTGTACAAAAAACGATACAACAACCACATGGAAATTTGTTTTTGTAAGTTCTACTAGTGTCAACTCATTTGACAGAAAAATGTAAATAAACAAACAAATTATGATCAAATTATTTTTATTTTGAAAATGAAATAATTTCGAATCCTCAAAATAAAAATTGAAAAACATGAATGAAAATCTATCAAATTTATATTTCTATCTATTCCACATCTTTCCTATAACTGAGCCATTGCCATATATATGTGTAACACATATGAAAATGCTGGGAATAGCGAGTTATTCCTTGAAGAAAGATTTGCTTCCCCAAACTTTCCCAGCAGGCAGATTGAGTAAATTGAATACAGGAGCACATTTAATAAAGAACAATTTTAAATTGTATGCGTTCCCAATTTTCCTGTTGGGTGATTTTTAAAAACATAATTTGTCAAATTCATATTGACACTAGTATAACGTTGGAATCAAATCAGCTGGGATTTGCTGTTACCTTTTATAATTGTACCATGGCAATAATCAGGCCACAAAATATTTTCAATGGCAAACAAAAAAACAGCTGATTTTGGGCAAACAAAATTATTTGACAGTAAACAAAAGTTTGCGTAAAGTGTCCACAATGTGAACGCCGACTAGCAAATATTTTCCTTATTTTTGGGCAAACATTTATTTGCCCTTACAATATTTTTGTACGGGCAAACGATGGAAAATAAAAACTGATGAACTCATTGCGTTGGCATTAATATTGTTGGAATTTCGTCATTTCATTTGAAAACAAAACATTTTTGACACTTTATCCAATCATTTTTTATGAATGGAAAACATAATTTCAGGCCCTAGGTACGCTTTCAAACCGAATTCGAATTCTTTTTGGGGAAGACACCGACTCGCAATGTTCAACATAGGTCAATACTTGTATATATGTAGCTGCGATATAATGGCAATGTCCGATTTTCGTTATGTTGTAGGTTTTAAACATATTTTCAAGCAATTTTTTTTATATTAAGTAGAAACCTTTATTTTGTATTTCGGGTTCTCAGATGGTAAATTTTCTCGTCACATACAATTTTCAAATCTCGACATATGGTCTAGACAAACATGGAGTTTTGACATATTCTCCATATGAAAGTCCCGCCCCATTTGTTACAATCCGAATTTTATTACCAAAGGGGATCTAATTTGGTGGTGATTTTTAAAATGTTCGGCACGGCTGAATTTAATCGCAAATTGTTTCAAATCCCGGCAAGATCTAACTACAGCCTCCATATATACTGTTTATGATGAGCGATGATGCCAAAAATGTAAATAAAAATAAAAACACAAGAGAATTAGTTTTTTGTAATAACAAGGGTTTGCTGGTTTATTGAATTGTTTTTTCTATACAAATTACCTTTATGGCGTCAGAGGCCGAGGTGTTTTATCTTTCAACGTTAAAAGAAAAGTGAACGCAGAGGTTCAAGTGGATCGCAGAGGATCTTAGTGATCGCAGAGGATCGTTGTAATCTTACTGATCTTCGTTAAGTACAGCTACAACTACAATTATTCAAGTGAGAGCATAGTCTCTTATGTATCAAAATGAGCAAACCAACAACAACTTCGCCCGTTGGTATATACACTCTGCGGTGTCCGCAGAGGGACGTGTAGAGGCAATACCCGAGCTGTCAATCAGCATCCGTGATCGACTGAGCTCAGGAAGTTGAAGGCCAACGTATCTAACGTATACATTGCCGCCCACCTTGATACATTTAAGTGTATCAACAAAATAATGATCAAATTAATGCTAATATAATACAAATATAATAATATATGAGATATAGGTTCGTAAGTTCAGTTCTTGTGTGAGGATTGACAAAATATTTAAAAATTCAGTGGTTTTAATTCAAATAAATTCAATTTATTACAAATATAAAAAAAATGTAATACAATTACATGTGTATTGGGCCCGATATTACCCAACCGAATGTCGTGTACTGGGCGCTAGGGAGACCGGGTTGGGAAATCACTCTAGGCGATATGACCTTAGAATAAATTTCTGGACCAAGAACCATTGCGATGGGTCCAGAACGATCGAACGTAGGATCCGCGAGTTCGAGGCTAACGAAGCATTCGCGAATATTAAGGGGAGCTGACATTGAGGGAGTTTTACCGCGCGTTATGTTTGCTACCCTAGCCGTCAAAAAATGCCTTTGACTGGAGTCAAACCGGGACATTATTAAAAAATCACCGTGGTCCATGCCATCTATTTGGGTTACCGGCCATTTCAATTCGTCGATCAGAGTCGCGCAAACCTGACTAACTTGACAACACGGGTCAAGTATTGCTCTGATCGGCATTGAACCATTCGGTAAACAAACGCGTACGACTACTGTGGGAGTTAGCATCATGACCCGACCGACAGGCAATACCGAAGAGGGCAAAACGTTTGGTGGCGGTGTTGGAAAAATGCCTCGAGGGACTACGGAGGTCAAAGGGTTAATTTCCGAGCGCGAACTGTAGGGTGTTGTGGACCGTCTACTCATATGGAGCATTGAATGGTGTTTATTTTTACAAAAGTTACACCTAAGGGGGACGGGGCAAATTCGGGAGCTATGGTCGGGGCGTAAACAATTATAACAATAGTGGTGATACGCCACCGCACGCAAACGCTTCTCAACCGACATTCTCTTGAAACGCGGACATTTATATAGGGGATGAGAGCGGGAACACAATCTACACGGGGAGGGGGGTTTGGCAAATTCCGCTTTGGCAACCTGACGCGGAGGATCTATAGGTTGGGTTGTAGGTGCTGGAACGACAGAGACGGTAGGAGCCACAGAGGTGGTGGGAGCAAGATCCATTGCTGGATTCCCACTTGGAGCCGCAATTTCCTCAATGGTAACCCTCATCTCTGCTTCTACTTCCCGATCGGACATCATCTCGTCATCGAAATCCGACAAGACTACCTCCGGGAACAATTCTTGGTGAGATGCCATATCTAACACAAACAACAACACGAAAGATAGAGAGATAGAGAGCTTAATTAGGCAGCACAACTATGATTTACTAAATACCGACCTCAACATTTCTTTGCGGATATTTCCACTTATACCGCCTATTCAAACTAAACAAATATTCTTCTTTCCACCTTATACAAAATTGATGCGTCAAAGCTTTCAATTTCCTATACCGATTTACCAAGCTCAATGGCGGTTCATCAACAAG